TTATAAAAATGTCGTATGGGGCTATTGTGACTCTTTAGGCTAATTAAAAAACAAATTCCACCAATTAATTTGTTTACAATAGTTACTAATTATAGTGTAATTTTTGGCAAATCTTACTATATTTAATAATTGATTGGCGGAATGTTTTTTAAAAAGCTAAAATCAGAAAAAATTTTCGAATTAGTGTGATCAGGGTATTTTGTCGATCAATTAAATTAAAACAAAATTTATTTATTAAAAAATATAAATTTATTTTTTTAAAAAAAAATGAAATCCTTCTTTAAAGAATAAAAAGCACAAAAAAACTATTACATTGGTGAAAATTGTTGTAAATATCTAGAATATCTGTTTTTAAGAATCGGATTATAAGCTTTAAGTGAACGAGAAAATAAGGTTGTACAATGGTGGCTTAGCATTTGACAAAGAAGCTTAACGTTACATGATTTACCAAGTGCATTTTTTTTTCTTTTTTTTTTTTTGCTTTTTCTTCAAGAATTTTATCATTTTACAAAAATTAAAAAAATCAAAATGCAAGACAATAATTCAAATGAATGGATTAGTTTTATAGAGGAATATGTTTTTAAAAAAAATATCAAATGCTACGAATATGAATATTTTAGCAATGTTCAAGAGATAGGTACTGGCAGCTTTGGAAAAGTCTATCGTGCAAATTGGAAAAGTTCAAAACAACCTCTCGTAACCTTAACAACGCCACTGTTAAAGAAATAGTTCGTGAGGTAATTACAAATTATAAAATGCGTTTTCGGTCTATTTCAGTCAGTTTAATATAAATCATTTATATATCAAACTAAATTTAATTAATTTTTCAGCTCGAACTTCAAAGCGAAGTGGATTTTCATGATAATATTATTCGCTTTTTTGGGATAACTTCAAAACAAAGTATGTAATGTTCATAATAAAACTTATATATTTTTATTTTTATTTTTATATTTTATTTTATCTTTATTTTTAACTCATTAATAAATTTTAAAAATTAAAAAAAAAAATTTTAGAAAAAGATGTTCATTTGAAAAAGTATTTGTTAGTAATGGAATATGCTGATGACGGGTCACTTAGAACCTATTTGAAGAATAATTTTGATAGGCTTACTTGGGATGATAAATACAACTTTGCATTCCAGTTGGCTTGTGCTGTGTCGTGTATACATGAAGAACGAATTGTACATCTATATCTTAATTTGTTTATGCTTTTATTAATAATTATAAATAATTAATATATATATATTATAGCATTCTGACAATATTTTAATTCATCATGGTATTATAAAACTTGCTGATTTTGGATTATCAAAAAGGATTGAAGCAGCATCTAAACAACAGTCAAAAGTCTTTGGTAAAATTCCTTATCTTGATCCAAAAAGATTTGGTAGACGAAATAGAATTGCCATTACATCGAAGCAAGATGATCTAACTGAGAAAAGCGATGTTTATAGTGTTGGCGTGTTGTTATGGGAGATATCAAGCGGTCGACCTCCATTTTATGTTGAAGGTGAACCATACGACATTGACTTAGCTATAGATATTTCACAAGGACTCAGAGAAAGTATCATTCCGGGTACTCCTGAAGGTTATGTAAAGATTTATACTGGTAAAGACTATTATAATTATAAATTATAAATTTAAATTTAAATATAATGTTTTCGATCACTAAATTTTTTTTATGATTTTAGGATGCTGGGACAACGATCCAGACAATCGTCCGTCTATGAACAAAGTAGTTGATGAATTAAATGCTATTATTACAAAAACAAATAAAATAGGAAATGATCAAATTAATAATGAAGAATCAAACCTTCAATCGTCAGAACAAATTTATTCTAGAATAAATAATTCATTTCATGGGGGCTTATCTCGATTGAATGCAGAAGAATTAGAATTTAATATTGATATATCCTCCATTATTTACCATGATACTGCGATTACGGATCTTAACAAAGATATATTAAACGAATTAGGAGGATTGCAAAGATATCGGAAATTAAAAGTACTCAATTGTAGTAATACTAAAATAAATAGCTTACCAACCTTACCCGACTCCTTAATAATACTCCGTTGTCATAATACTCCTATAAATAGCTTACCAACTTTACCCGACTCCTTAACAATACTCGGTTGTAGTAATACTCCAATAAATAGCTTACCAAATTTACCAAACTCCTTAACAATACTAGGTTGTAGTGATACTCCAATAAATAGCTTACCAACCTTACCCGACTCCTTAACAATACTCTATTGTAGTAATACTCAAATAAATAGCTTACCAACTTTACCCGACTCCTTAACAATACTCGGTTGTTTTAATACTCAAATAAATAGCTTACCAACCTTGCCCTTCTCCTTAACATTACTCCGTTGTCATAATACTCAAATAAATAACTTACCGACTTTACCTGACTCCTTAAAAAATCTCTGGTGTTTTGATACTCAAATAAATAGCTTACCAACTTTACCAAACTCCTTAACAATACTAGGTTGTAGTGATACTCCAATAAATAGCTTACCAACTTTACCCGACTCCTTAACGAAACTCTATTGTAGTAATACTCCAATAAATAGCTTACCAACTTTACCCGACTCCTTAACGGAACTCTATTGCTATAAAACTCAATTAAATTACTTACCGACTTTACCTGACTCCTTAACTATACTCAAATGTCATAATACTCCAATAAATAGCTTACCAACCTTACCCGACTCCTTAACAAAACTCAGTTGTAGTAATACTCAAATAAATAGCTTACCAACTTTACCAAACTCCTTAACGAAACTCTATTGCAATAATACTCAATTAAATTACTTACCGACTTTACCTGACTCCTTAAAAAATCTCTGGTGTTTTGATACACAAATAAGTAGATTACCAAATTTACCCAATTCTTTAATTGATCTCAAACCTTTATCTTTATATAGCGTTAAATATTGAAGAATTGTTCGTCAAATTTTCACTCTTCTTTCTTTTAAATTATTTTTCAGCAACGTTTTATATGCGTCTAATGTATTGTTTCAAATATGAATTTGTGAATTGATTTTTTTTTTTCTAATTTTTTTTCTAATAACAAATTTCATTATAAGATTCTTTTCCTAATTTTAATACAAGTAGATATTCATGCATGGAAATAACACACTCCTCCTTTTTATACAGATTGCATCGTATTATATGAAACATTTTAGAGAATATCAACTTTTTATTAGTTGGTTGAGAAGGATAAATAATATGAATTGTGACCAATTATTTTATTTAATAAATAAAAAATACATATAAAGAAAATAGAATCATGCGATAAAATTAAGTAAACAATCCAAGGCTAGGCAAAGTTAAATATTGTATACTTAGAAATATAAATCATATCACATTCAATTTAGAAATAAATCGTTTCCGAAACTTAGTTGAATACAATGCATTTTCTTTTAGTTTGGATATAAATAGTAATTTGCGAGAAGATCACCAACGTTACAGCAATATTAATCAGAAGTAGGAATGTTTTATATTAGATAATAGAATATATTATAAAAACCGTTATTGAATCTTCCAGGATCAAAAAAAGAATTATTCAGCTAAAATTAGACGCATTTGTAAAAATTGATACATAAACAAAAAAAAAAAATACAAAAAAAAGCAACCCAGTCCATAGAAAATTTCATATAAAGATAACAAAAATATAAATATATATATAAAGATATAAAATGCTAATACGATTCATGAAAATATTTATAATATGTTCTACACCATAATTCTATTGATTATTCTACGACTAGGTGTTGTTTAGTTAAAGTAACGAGTTAGAAAAGTTAAATATAAAAAACTAAAAAAAAAAATAAAATCAGAATTTTCATTCCAAATACCGTTAAAGATGGAATATATCATATAATATGCCTATTATGCAATAATTTTTCCATAATCCCATTAAATATTTCACGATCAAAAAGTGTTGCCAGTTAAGCTAAACGCATTGGTAAGGTATGAAAAGTTTTTATACAATGTATTATCCAATATACAATTCCCGAAAAAACAATATATCCATTGATTATTCCGCTATCAAGTGTCGTCCAGTTAAAGTTAAATGCGTAAGTAAGGTTAAATCTAAATACAAAAATAAATAAAAAATAAATAAAATCGTGCAAATACGATCATAAATATTTATTACTGTCTATTTTGCAATTCTCCAAAACACACTACTATTTCGTTAATTGTTCCGCGTTATCCAGTTAAATTTAAACATGTAAGTTAAAAAAAAAAAAAAAAAAAAAAAAAAAGATAGAGAAAACCCTGTCCACGATAAGTTTTCCATAAAGTTCATTCCATTATTCCACTGATTATTCGCGATCAAGTGAGATGTTCTATTAAAGATAACGCACGCGTTAGTAAAGTTAAAAAAAAAAAAAGAAACAGTAAACGAAGTAAACGAAGTAAACCTCTCCCCAAAAAAATATGTTACCAGTTAAAATTGAACGAATTAGTTACAACTCACAATATTCCTAAACTCCATATAATGTTATTTTCCATTCATAAATAATTACTTGAATATTCCATCAGAGCGCAAAAATAATTTGTAAAAAAGCAAAATATAAAATTAGAAAATGCATTTAAATCTCGTCAACCTGATATTTCTTATGCATTACTCGCAAAAGGTACATATGGAATGATTGAACGATATGTCGCCACGTCTTATTTACCTCAGAAAGGAAACGATTCGAGTGTGAAAAAAAATGTAAACCCCGCTCGAGATACTATTTAATAAACAACGAGAAATAATTTGATTGGTTGAATTGTTAATGCCGATCAATAGCACTGTCCATAAAATATTTTCTCTGGAATGTTATTTAAAAATTGTAATTTGAAAGATAAAGCTATTTAAACGTGTCCTTGGTGACGTATGGTCAATTCCTATTAAATCATCTACTAAGGTATTAACTGTATTATCTGTTAAGGTTTTAAATTTAGAACTTTTGTTTGAAAAAATTTTAAAAAATAAAATTTTATCAAACGATGCTAAATTTAAATTTCTTCAGGATATTAGAAAATATTTCACGATTCCATAACTTTTGAAAGATAAATATTAGGGTATATAAATTTAACACAGTATTGAAAGCATTGATAACTGTCTATTAACAGCTACCCACGTCCGCAGTGACAGCGCAATAAGAGCTGACGGGGATAATGTTAAATGTGAGCCTATCAAAGCTACGGATTTCTTATAGTGAGGCACGGCATTCATTTTTGTACTTTAGAGAAATAATATTTTTTCGTGAATTAGTAAGAATCTATAAATGTATGTACGTTAAAATTTTCCTTATTCTGTTAGTCGTTTAATTGATGTTATAAAAAATATCCAATTCTTAAACAAGATTTTATTCGAAATAATCGGAAATCGTAAAATTATCGCTGCAACAATTCACTTCTTAAGTTGAGGATTTGTTTGAACAGATCGATTTTCCAAGGTTCATTGGAGTGTCCACTGAAATAAAAATTTCATAACATGTTTTTCAAGAAATTGTGGCATTTGATACATTCCAATCACATGTGATTTCGTAAAAAAAAAAAGAAAAAGACGAAGTCGTGATGTATATATAGATCGAAAGGCAGTCATTTATGTTAAAAATTTTTGTTTTTTGATTACACTTTTGAGGTTAACATTACCGAATAAAATGATTTGCTTCAATTAGGTCATAGATTTCTATCATTAACCGTCCCTTAGAATGTCCATTATCAAATGGTTACATCAAATTTTCCTCTATTAGCTAGTCTTATTATTGAACCAGCACATGATTTAATAGTTTTGCATTAATATTCTTATTGTGATGATATATTAAATTTTCAAATACAATATGTGCAATTGAATACTTTTTTTAAAAAAAACACATGACCTTTCTGTAACACTAATGTGAACCTGAAGAAATAATTGGTCAAATCGAGCATAAAGTTAGAAGAAGCTCACATGTATCATTTGCATGTAATGTGTAAAGTAACATTTGTTTTTATGCGCATTTGATCACGCTATTTACTAAACTTTAAAGTATCGAATCCGATGAGAATTGAATTATGCGTGCGATAAATTGTTCGAAAAGGAAATGTTTTATTACAAAATGGTTAACATAAATCCAAGATAGTTATAGTTTCCTAGTTTCAACGGTATCAAATTTAAAAGATGTAGAATCAAAATTTTAATCGAATCCGCAATAAAAGATTTTAAAAATTCATTTTTATAATATTTAAATAATTGAAACGCGAAACTATTTTTTTTTCGAAACCCATAGGTCTTGTCAGACATCATTATTCCCAAGAATTTATTAACTTATTTTGAAATATAAAAAGTGGCTCCAAGGAATTCGAATGAATTATTCGTATTTAATCAAGCATGAAAAAAAAGTTATATTAAATACAAGAATAAATAAATAACATGAAGGACTTTTCATTAACGTAACTAACTTCAAAGAAGTGTACTTGAACGCGTTCCAAGATTTACAACAGCAACTGACCAACTTTCAGTTACAAATAATAATAGAAACTTTTGAAAATCGTTTTTTAGGTTCATCTCGCCGTAATATAATTACGGTATATTGTATGTACTGTAAATCGTAACGATGTGATTGGTTGGTTTTTAATTATTAGTTGGAAGTAATAAAAAAAGAGAAAAGGAATATAAAACCAAGTAAACCACAGAAATGACGAGAACGGATTTGATTATAAGTCGATAAACTGTTAATACCATTAAAAATTCGTATTGTTACATTGGATATAATTCCACCCGAAAAAATTAAAATTTTTCGCCTTGGTTAGTCTTTGAAGATCAATTTCGACCAAATTGTTAGGATGCCAAGTTGTTCTAATTAAAATTTTAATATATTTTCCATTGCTATTCATAACTTCATAATTTTTATGCTGTAACTTCGTTAATTTCGTTGTTTTAATATCTTTTATTTATTTTTATTTTTCCGATTATTATTTTGCGTAGTTTAATTAGTGATTAGCATTTATTTGAGTTAAAGAGCGTCGATGTTGAGACAACACTGATTAATTAATTTTATTGAATAACATTTACATCGTAATTATTCAATTGCTTATTAATAAAAACCTATAAACGAAAGTATTGAACACAACAGCATTATATTTCGAAGTCACGAGATATAATTTTTACATATAAAACTTTTATTGGTTAAAATTTAAAAGGTGATCCGGCCGGATGACGTGAACCGAAAATGCTAAAGTGCGTGGCCTTAGCAACAGTAACTTAAAACTTTACTTGTTCCCAATATATATATTTATTTTATAGTCAAGACACTGCTTAAGACATACATGTAATCAAAATTGATTAATTAAATATTTAAAAAAAATCAGTTTTTAGAGACAAATTTGAATATTTTTCATATGATAATATTTCTAATTCATTATTTGCAATCACTGCTACATGGGAAATAAAACATCTTTATCTGGTGGAGGGGCGCAATTGTAAGAGCCATAACTATCTGGATATTTTGCTGAATTTATAATCAACCATTTACATTATTTTAATAGTAATCATTGTGTCAGTAATCATAATCCGTAAAAAATTTATTAATATTATCTAATATTCGGGTTTATAATTAACACCCCGAATACACAATTGTTATAATATATTAACTGACATCCAACTGGAGTAACAAATAATTCTGCCAAGCAGATTTACGTGGTTAAAATAGGTAAAGCCATAATGATTGAGGATGGTATTTGCAACTGCTGAAGATTGTGTAAATTTTTAACATCTTTAACATCTGGATTACCAAAAAGCTCTAATTAGATGGGCATATAAATGGTTCTGCAAGCCAATAAGATGAAAGAGTGTATACATTAACCAGATTGGGTAAAAATATTATTCAAAATAAAAGTTATAAAAGTTGATATCTTGACCAAATATTTTTTGAGTATTTTTCAATTCACCATTGGCATTAAAGGCACTTTATAGTAAAAATCTATTATTGATACAGTTCTTTCCATTTTTTATCAATAAAACTTAGGGTTTCCGTGTGAAAATAGAATATTCAAATATTTTTTGTAAATAAATAAAAATTTCAAGTATTCGAAAATACATAATTAATATTCGAATATCGAAATGATTTTGGATCGATTTTCAATCATTTCGATCGATTATTTATTTTAATAAATGAAATAAAATAAAAAAAGGAAATTAAAAAGAAAATAAAAAAAAAAAAGAATCGATCGACGAATAGTACGAAAAATAAAAAAATAAAATAAAAAAGAATATAAAAAAATAAAACTGAAGCTTACCTAATCGAAAAATTTAGAAATATGGAAAAAAAAAACCAAAAAACAAAAAGAAGGAAAATGCGAAAAATATATATATATATATATTCAATTTCGGTATCCGAACTGATTGGTGATTTTCGATATTATTTTAAATGCAATTTGTAAACCCTAATAAAACTTGGTTGATCTATTGAAAAAAATATATATTTGAGAAACAAATGAAGATTTTCAATTTGGTTGACACTTGTACATAGTGACATTGAGTACAAATCCATCCGAGTTTTAGATTATGGGATTCTATTTTCTTGACCTTTGTAGAATTGGTACGTTCTCGTTGATAAAGTGGTTTCGTATATTTCATAGGATAAACCGATGGTAATCCAAGCATGAACCAATGAAATAATGGTTAAAATCAGAAACGTCAAATGTTATGAATGTTTTACTCTGCATTTTTTAACAAATGGATTTGAGCGAAAAAATCTCTGTATATAAAAAATGCAGTAATATGAAGTATCGTAATATTAAAGGATATTAATTTTTTTATTCCTTTTTTTGCGTTATTCATTTTTAACACTTTCTCTTTTCATTCTTGCCCTATATCGTTACTGTCGGACATTATAATTTTTAAAAAGGAAAAAAAATATTTATAATGTCGATCATTTACGTGATACTATTTACGAAATTTTATTTTTGTGAATCCACATTTTTAATGATTAATTCGAGATGCTGCGGTAAAGGCTTTTTTAAAATTTTACCAATAAAATGTGCGTCGATCTAGATGTGTACAGGGTTTAAAAAGAAATATTTTTCAATTTTGAAAAATATTTCTTAATCTTCTCTTTGGACACACAATGATCATCAGTATAGGTTAAAATCAGACACGTTAATGTTCGAAAATGTAATGAATGTTTTACTTTGCATATTTTTATATTCATTTTTTTTTAACAATGAATTTGAATATATTGAACGAGATATAAAAAAAAAAAAATTCCGATATCGAGAGATCGACTGTTCCGAGATCGACAAAAATTACCTGATACAATTAAAAAGAAATAAATAAAAAGAATCAGAATACCGAAACGGTTTAAGGCCAAGGTTAATAATATACAGTATATAAGGTCTACCAGATTTTTCGACAAGGGGGAAAAAAAAAGACATTTCACTATGAAGAAAGCTTTATTATACATTCTTATACATTTTTCATCGGCAGTTGTTGCTGATTGGATCACCATAGAACATGATTATAATATGTGCGACGAAGACATACCTTCTAATTATGCGGCGTTCCATATAGACGATGATGGTCAGGCTCATTCGACGTCCCTTTTGATCAGGGACGTCCAAATTATAAGTCATAAGCTACCATTATCAATTTTAAACGTCACAATGTGGGGATGCACAAATGATTGTAGCTTCGAATTTATGGTGAAATTAAACAGAGATGATCTTTCGGTTTCGTCGTATACCGAAAAAAACCAAAATAATTACAAATGCAAATTAAGTAATTACACGATGAAACTTATTCCAACCCCTAAAATTACATATAAGCACCAAACACCAGACCCAGACCATGTATTTCCAACTGATCTAACTGCAAAGTATTGCAGTGAAGGTAAACACCCAGATGCACCCAATTGGTCCATTAATCAAACAGAATATATAGCTGAATGCATCGATTATTTGACTGGTCAAGAAGTTGGAACATACGCTGCATCTCTTGAATACGGTACAGGCAGCTCGTTCAATCCTGATGGTTATGGTGTTGCTACATATCACATGATTAATTCGGCAAACAAGCTATTCAATTATTGGGAGAGACACCATCGAGGGTTCCATG